TCATATTCTGAGTGACTAATGATGCTTCTGAATAAATAGGTACTCATTTAAAATATGCACTGCAGCTAGCTGGATTATGATACTATTGGAAGAAGAGGAAAAGCAAGGTCTGGCAGCTTGGAGGCAGCAGGCTATTAAGTATTATTAAGTAAGAGATCAATTAAATGAAAATCAGTTTGGAGCAGAGTGTCTAAATAAGTGGCAGTACCAACACATAGCTCTGTGTGAAAGACTGTTTAGGAACTTCCTCAGACTTGCGGAGGCTTTTTATTTCCAAAAGGCCCAAGAATACTCATGTTTTTCTGACACTGGAGCAGATGCTCAGGCTGAAAGTAGTCTTAGTTGTTAAACAGATTCTCTGATCCTTTTGGGACAGGAAATTCTTTGACTCACAAATTCTGAATCAGGTTCTGACAGTGGGCCCTCCTCACTTTTTTGCCCAGTCATATCGCTCATTCAAAGAAAGTTAAGAGCCTATTTATGTGCCTGACTCTTTGAGATAACTTGGATTTAAGTTCTGTTTGTTTTTTCATTATTGCTATAGTTTGGACATTTGACCTCTCCAAACCTCATGTTGAAGTCTGATCCCCAGTGTTGGAGGTGGGGCCTAATGGGAGGTATTTGGGTTCACCAGGAGGTGGATACTTCATGAATAGCTTGGTGCTGTCCATGAGTGAATTCTTGCTCTATTAGTTGCTGAGACAACTGGTTGTTAAAAAGAACCTGGTACTTCCCAGTTCTCTCTCTGGCTTCCTCTCTTGTCACATGAGTTCTGCACTTGCCAGCTCTGCTTTACCTTCCACCACGAGTGGAAGTAGCTGAAGCCGTTACCAGAAGCAGATTCTGGCACCATGCTTCTTGTACAACCTACAGAACTGTGAGCCAAATAAACCTCTTTTTTTTATTATTAATTATCCAGCCTCAGGTATTCCTTTAAAGGAATGCAAAAATGGATGAAGACAATTATAGAGTTCTAAAATGACAAACACTAAAATTTATTGAGAATGTTACTATATATTAGTGTGCAAATGCAGTGGGGGTGGGGGACTGTTGAGGTGACTGGGTGCCTTCTTTTATCTTTTTTTTTTTTTTGAGACAGAGTCTTGCTCTGTCGCCGAGGCTAGAGTGCAGTGGCCAGATCTCAGCTCACTACAAGCTCCGCCTCCCAGGTTCACGCCATTCTCCTGCCTCAGCCTCCTGAGTAGCTGGGACTACAGGCGCCCGCCACCTCGCCCGGCTAGTTTTTTTGTATTTTTTAGTAGAGACGGGGTTTCACCATGTTAGCCAGGATGGTCTCGATCTCCTGACCTCGTGATCCGCCCGTCTCGGCCTCCCAAAGTGCTGGGATTACAGGCTTGAGCCACCGCGCCCGGCTTCCTTCTTTTATCTTTAGATTCTAGGTGGTTCTGAACTTAAGAGTGGGGAGAGAAAGAGGAGTTCAAGTCTGTGGCTCCTGACAATCCCAACTTTTTCTTTTCCCATCTGGGACCTAGGGCCCAAATAGAAAAAGCCTTTGAGAGGCAGATTCGGGTACTCTTGAAGTATTATCCTATTTTTACTTTTGAGGGGTAAGAGGGAGTAGATACTGCCTAAGTTTGATTTTGCTGCTTTGGTGAAATTCCTTTATGCATGCCTAAACTTAGATATGTGAAACCTAGGATATGAGAAATACCTTTTTCAAGGGAATAAAAAGATTCTTTTCAGACGATTTATAAGGTTTACTTAGTATGCAAGACTAATTAAATTGGAATAGGAAGGAAAATTGTATGACATTAGTACTTTTCTTACTGGGTTTAGGAAAACTAATTTCTCTTTACAGTGTGAAATTTGGAGCTATTGAGTTGATTTTGACGAAGATTACCTGTAGAAGAAAAGGTTACATTCTACCAATGTTACTTTTAGGCAGAATTGGGAATTGGGCTAACTTTGTCTTCAGAACCTTCAACTTTCCTTTCAACACTCTTATCTCTCAGTGGCACCTGACACCTCCCACCTCCAGGTGCCTAGTAATATGCTTTTCCTTTCTTTTTTTTTTCTTTCTTTTTTAATCAAAGCCTTTGAAGAACAAAGGCTCTCTAAGTTGTAATGATGGGTGAGGTTTAAAGTATCTCTGATTCAGGCATATTTGTATTTTACATGGGATCAAGTCTTATGTTTTGTAAGGTTGGATTGTGAAATATAAATAAATGAAAAATGAGCCCTGGGAAACTTTTTAATATCATAGGCTCTCAGGTCTGTCTGTTCTTTCTTCCTTCCTTCCTTCCTTCCTTCCTTCCTTCCTTCCTTCCTTCCCTTTCATTGCTTCCTTCCTTCCATCCCTCCCTCCTTCCTTACCACTTCCCTCCCTCCTTCCTTACCACTTCCCTCCCTCCCTTCCTCCTTTCCTTCCTTCCTTCATGTACTGAGTTTCCACTATATCCCAGAGACTATTCTTGCTACTGAGTATAGAGCAGCAAATGACAGACACATGCAAGCTACCCCCATGGAGCTTTCATTTTTATGAGGAGACAAAAACACCTAAATAAGTAAACAGGGTATTTATTAGGGATAAATTGTGGAAAATAAATAGAAGAGTGTAGTGGCTGCGAGTGGTGGTGAAAGTTATCAGGGCAGGTGCTTCCAAGGAAGAGATAGTTAAGCTACCCCTCAAATGAGGTCCATGATAGAAAGAGCCAGCCATATGAAGCTCTCCAGGAGCAGTGTGCCTGGCAGAGGAAAAAACTTGTGCAAAGTCTTGGAGGCAGAAATGACTTTGCTGTGTTTGAGCCAAAGAAAGGAGTGTCAGTGTGATAGGAATACAGTGAAATAGGGGGAAAGTGGTACTAGATGAGGTTGGAGAAGAAAAGAGAAATAGAATTATGTGAGGTCTCTTGTTCCATGTTAAGAAGTTTGGATTTAAGTTCAGTGAGCATTTGTTTAATAACTTCAGCATTTGAGAGCATCTACACTACTTTGTCAAGTATTTGTACCACAATTACCACCTATGTTGTTTCTTGTGGTTTTATTCTTCAAAGCAAAGCTTTTTGGAGAAGCCTTCAGCAATCCATACGCTCTCTTCTTCCTAGAGATTTCTAGCACTCTGAGTGGCTCGTTTTTTTGCATGGCATATTCTGCTTTTTGGTTGATTAACTTTCACCCCAGAAAGAGTGCAAATCAATGAACTTAGAGTGGTTTTAGAGATCACTGTTTTTCCCACAGTGTCTTCCAGAGTCTTCTGCTTCCTAAACACTTAGTAATAATTGTTAATTACCTAGTTCTCTGAGGTAGATTGGGTGAGGGTGTAAATTTTCATTTACTCATCACAGTGCCTAGGGTAGTGTCATACACTAAGTAAATATGCAAGCTGAGTAAGTCCAGTTGTGGGGAATGTGTTTAATCATGAGACTTGGTGAAACAAGAATTAAGATGGAATATTTAGTTGGTAGACGTTGACTCTGCCAGGGTCCTAATCAACTAAAGTAATATTTAACCACAAATAAAGCCTTTACAAATGCTAATAAAACAACACTGTGGGTTGAATATTCATTTTAGTAAAACGTTTTAAATAATCTGTAAGAAAACATTTTTCTGTTACTGTTTTCTGTTTTACATGTGACTACATGGATAACTGATTCACAATTTTCACTTTAAGTTGCTTTGAAATTATCGTCCATATACGGCAAGATTTAGTAAGGATGTCTGTCTATGTCTACTCTGTTAATATGCTCGTGGATTTAAAGCTTCCAGACCCAGGTCTTTTTGTAGTTGCCTCACAGGAAAGCTGTTCAATCTCCCAGATCACCTAGGTTGCTATTCTCCCTACCTTTTGCAGCGCCTTGATGTGCCATTTGCATTCCCACACGGTTTCTGTATAAGAATCATTTAGTCTGAACAAACTTGCCCTTTGATACCCAGCTGTTTGTTGAGTATTGCAGCTTTCAGAGGAGGTGCTCAGCAGCAGCTCATAATAGCGCTAAATTAGTGCCCCTGGACGGCAGTATGTAACACGAAGTATCTAGTTATTCCTATTCCAGTTAGGAAGAGTACTTGTGTGAGCTGCATTTAAAATGAGGAGGCTGAGAACCCATTTTTTTTTTTTCTATAAAAAGCGGTGAGTTGGTGTGGGAGTGCTAATCTTTCTCTTTGCTCCCAGTTTGAAACTTCCGTGATTCTAATAATGCTGCATTTGCTTTAAAAATCTCTGGTGCAGGTAGGGATGTGCACATTGCTGATGGTATGGTCTGACATTGGGCCTTTACCTTTGTGCAATGGGAAAGATAAGCAACATTTGCTGAGGGTTTACCACCTGCCAGGTATACTCTAGAGTTGCACTTCACACACAGTCTCATTCAACTACTCCTAACAGCCTTATGAGTTAGTAATTAATAATCCTATCTTATGAGGAGACAGACAGTTCATCTCAGATGTTGACCTCAATCCGTGCTTTATAAATTCAGTTGAGAGTAGATCCTTCCTTTCTAATATTTCATCAATTTATGCTCAAATTCTTACGGGGTAAACTTAGGGAGTGCTTCGGTCAACATGCAAAGAAATATTCTCTTAGGAACGGAACAAGACTAGTAAATGGGTTTTCTTCCCAGAAAGAAAACTAGGAATTGCTTACAGTGGAGTACCCAGGGCGGTGTGCACCGCTGTCCATGGTGAGTTACTTGTGCCCAAGGGGCAACTAGAAAGTTTAGCCAAACGAGACGATTAGAAAGCTCTGACCGCGCACTTTGACTGGGACGCGCAGGCGGAGGCGGGACGCGCAGGCAGAGGCAGGACTCGCGCGCTCCTAAGCCCCGGCAGGTCAGCTTAGGCGCCTTGCTGATGGAAGAGTCCATTAGGGATGGCCAAGGCAGGGTGTTCCCGACGCCGGAGCGCGGACCTGGCTGCCCGCTGCGCAGAGCAGTGTGCGCTGCCCTGGGCGGCCACCCCCGCTCCGTTGGTCAGGTGAGCGCTGCCTGGGGAGCCATGGGGTCCTATTGGAGCAGAGGAAGGATGGAGAGGGAGGAGGCAAGGGACGGGGAGAAAGGGGAGGAGAATGGAGCTCTCCTTATGATCGCGTAGTGGGAGTAAGAATCAGCAGCCCGAGCAGGGAGTACGGACGGGACGGGAGTGAGAGGCAGAGCGAGGGTGTGTGGAGGGCCGGCGGGGACCGCTGGGAGCGCGCGGATGTCGGTGTTTCTGCGGCCAGGTAGGCTATGACTGAGGAGTGGTGCTGCGAGCATCGCGGTGCCCCAGGGGAACGCCTCAGCATCAGCACCTGTTGCTGGAGGTGGGCGGCGAGGGTGGCCCGGAGGGCGGGCCACAGCCGGACGCAGGGAGGCTGGGCGCGCAGCCGGCGCCGCGGCCTGCGGGTAACGGGGCGTAGCTGCCCGCGTCGGTTCTATCCAAGGCTGCGGCTTTGAAGGGAGCGTTAGGTTCCTGCACCCCTTATGCGCCCGTTCCAAAGATGCCTGATCTCAAAGAAGGTGAGAAGTGAATGAGCAGAGTGAAAAGTTTCCTTTCTTCTTTTTTCTGCCTGTTTGAAACCCTAACCGTAGCTTTAATTTTAAAAAAGTCTAGCTGAAAAATAACCGACCAAGAACGGCGCGCCATAGGTAATAATTGATAACGGGAAGGGTGAGATAAACTTAAGGAGTCTTGTGTTCCAAAATAACCACTGCGTCGAAAAATTTCAGCGAAATATATTGATTTTAGGGAGCTTGGGATTAACATGGAGCTATAGCATAACATATATATGTATATATATTTAAAAGCTTATACTTTAATTTTAAAAACTATCTCAAAATTGATTTTTTCTTAAAACCAAGAAATTATAGCTGTGTTCGTCAGGGGAAAATTGATTTTAAGGTGTGTTATCTTATGTAACTTGTTTTAAACCAACTTTTCCCACTTTATGAAATCCACAGCCTTTAAAATGTGTGTAATATATTTATTAGTATGCTGCACACTCTTTTAGAAACTGATACCAAATTTTAAAGATGCATAATTACTGAGAATTAGGATGAAAGTCAAAAATATACCTTAACTAATACAGCATGATTAGAAATTCTTACTGAAGTTATGATTACTTTAAATTACTAAAGTTTTTTTTCTCCCTTTTTGTGTAGTTGATCAAAATAATTATATCAAACAACAACAACAACAGAAACCCAACGGATCATAAGTAAGAGAAAAAATGATATTTTAGGCAGGATACAAATGAGCACCAATTATTTATTCTGGGTTAATTTCATAGAGTAAGTGGAAACTATTCCCGCCTATGAAATTTGAGAAAAATGTAGGTTACAGGGAGACGTCAAAAACACTCTGAACTATGTTATGATAAAATATATTAAATATATGTGATTAGATATAATGTTCTAGCTCTGCCATTAACACACAATGACTTTGGACATTCACCCATCCTTCCAGGCATTAGTTTCTTCATTTATAAAATAAAGTAATTGGACTAGGTGATTGTAAAGGTTTATTTTAGCTAAAAATATTATATCTCTCAAATTATTACTTTTAGAAGTAACCAAGATGTACACACTTTAAAAATGTACAGCTGAAGTACGACTGAATCTTATGTCCATTTTCTCATTTCCATGATGAATAAATATAGCAGTCATTCGTTAATGAATGCCTGCTAGGTAGTGAATTCTTAGAAACTCTTTACATAGATTATCTTATTTAACACAATGCCATCATAAATTGAATAGTAGTATATCCCAATTTATAGATAATGATACTGAAGAATGAAAAGTTTAAGCTCCTTGCCCAGAGTTGCAGTTTATAAGAGCTGGGTCAAATATTTTTTCGGAATGCTCTTAGGACCTTATACTATACTGAATGTGATGATTAAAAGCTAAAATTGTCCGTAAACTGAAGTAATCTTGGACTACTATGAGAGTCCATAATGGGACAAAGGTAAGTTATGTAACACTGAGTCTTGATACGATTGAATATATAGGTGCTGTATCAATCTCCATTTATTATATCTTAATAAGTTACATATTTATGCTGTATATTTATGGAATGCCAGTTGTATTCTAAGAAAGTGATAATATGAGATATATTTGGAACACAAATGGTTTTATGGTAATATAACTACTAGAAAAAATGTGAGAGGGCAGAAACTAGTATTAAGCAAATGCTATTATTAAGTATGTCAGATGTCTTTCTACTTGAAGGTAGTCATGCTTGAGACAAAAATGCTTACACCCAAGGGAAAAGGGTGTTGAGAATGGAATTAGCTGTGACTAAACTCTTTTGTTCATATCCCATGATGAATCATAATAGTATGTCACATTTATTGAATTGTATGCCAGGAATTCTCTTAAGCCCTTTATTAGTGTAATTTTATATTGGATCATGAATTAAATTGTTTTATCCTGATTTGCAAATGAGGAAACTGAGGCAGAAAGATCTATGTCCTGGGAGGACCCACAAAGAAAATACTTTTTATCTTAGATTAAATGTGTGATCATTCATTGTTCTGAAATTCTTAGGCTGTTAACATAACATGAAATCTTGAAGCACTGGAAGGAGACTTGGAGCCAAACTAAACCAACCTCTTTATTTTATATTTGAGGTAACTGAGACCTAGAACAGTTAAGAGACACACTTAAGGCCACATGTTTTAGTCACCTATACATTCTTGTATACTGCTAGGTAAGAAGTATCCTAATGGGTTAACTTGGTCATTAATTGTTTGATTTATTGTCACTCAAACAAATGCCACCTCGTGCCGTTTCTTCTATTGCTGCCCTACTTTTATTTAAAATTTCAAGGTTGCCCCAGTTAGGATGCAAAATCCTTGAAGACGATGACTGTATTCTACATTTCTCTTATATAGTGTCTATATATATGTGATTATATCTATAGGGTTTAGCATAATGGTTAATCTATTGAATAAATTGCCTTGTTGCCTGTTTGCCTTTGATAAGTCGTTATTTTATGCACCAGGTTTGAAATCTACACAGTGGAAGCACAATGCCATCACCATTTTTCACTTCAAGTAGAGGGCAACTAGACAATTTACAGATGCTTACAAAGTGTAATGAGCTTCTTAGAAAATTGTTTAACTTGGTTATAAAATGCAGTGTGTTACCATGGAGAGATTTGGATGTGTATTTCCCTGATTTTGGTGGGGCGGGGAGGAATCACATAGCTGAATATCACACACTGTTCAATTTACCTCCCCACCATTCTGGAAATAACTTTTTTTCTGAGTGCAAAGATAATGCAAAGTCATGCAGGAAATTCAGACAGTAAAGAAATAATGAAAAATCACCAGAACCTCCCCAGTCTAAAGGTTTTGGTGAATATCCAGCCAGAGAGGTCTTTCTTCTCTTAATTCCTGCCGAATCAGGGTGAGAGCTGAATTATTTATTGAAACCATGTACAGTAAAGTTCTATTTAGTCTTAGTATTCCATTACTCCTGGGTAGTTCAGACTTTATGTAAGTAAAGATATTTGTTGAGCAATGAAGGTAAACATACTACTAATAAACTAGAGTCTACTCCATGTAGAATGGAATAGTACAGAAAAGTTGATTTCCTCACATTGCATGCCTAATTTTTTCCTTTCACAAGGTAGGATTGGGAACACAGGGAGCATCTTTTGCATGCATGGAGGGTTCCCCAATATGCCAGGATGTTAGGCCACACATGAAGCCACAGCACCCCAGCTCTGTTGCCCTGAGTGAGGTGTGGCAGAGGAGGAGAAGGGTGGAGCTGAGGCACAAGCGACTGTGGTAATACAAAGGCTGTGTTTTCCGATTCTACTGTGACACACTATACACTTAAAAATGTACCAGACCAAGTCCCTCCCCCAGCTGCTGGGCAGGTGGTCACGGGGCCCTTTTCTGGTGCAGTCGGGCGTAAGTCTGGCTTTACCCCAAAGCGAGGGCAAGATGCTGATAGGGCATTTCTCATTCATTTATTCAGGATTCTGAAAACGTAGAATGGACCCTCTTTTATATTAAAGGGAAACACTGGCTGCTGGAATCATTGTCCATAAATGAGTTTTGAAGTAATACTCACAAAGTTATTAAGTATAAAGGAAAGTTGTGGCGTTTCTTTGAGAGAAACGGTAACTCTTTCTGTATGCATTTGCATGTAATTACACTGAAAATAGTTGTTTTGAAGATTATGTTTTCTGGTTATTTTAATTTCATAAATATATTTGTTATTCAAAACTTACTCCCCTAGGCATATTTTCTTGGTTTAAACTATACGTTTGAGCGTAGAGATTTTTCATGCTTCACTTTATTAGGGGCTTAATATGGCTTTAATCCAACCATCTGTTCTCATCTTGGCACATCAGCACGTCTGAGGTGCTGATAGGGGCCAAACAAATTTCCCACATTTTAAAGGTTAGGGAAAGAGCTACCTTTATGAATAGATTCCAAATGATTCTCAGCAAGACAATGGTATAGAAGTGGAGTAAAAATGCATTTCATTCTCTGAAGCACAAGGTCCCCTGTCTGTCTTCAGTTTTGCTGAAAGGCAATTAGCATTTCAACTAGCCAATTTGGTTACATGCAACGAAGTACTTGGGTTTATAATTTGCTGCTCTCTGTCTGAGGCTGTTGAGTGCTAGGTCTTATGTAATCCTTTCCAAGTAGTCTTCTCTCCAGCATAGTTATTGTTGCTGGTTTTAAATAACTAATCAACAGAAAGTTTTCCTTGCCTTCAACTGTAGGGTGCCATAGGGCAAGGAAAATGAAATACCAAGCAAATAAGGGGATGACTGTAATTATAAATAGTCATTATTGAAATGTGGCACAGGTTGAAAGACATAGAATAGCTTCAAATAAAATGCAACTCCAAAAAGTCATTGTGTGCACTGTTAATGGTTTATTTCTCATGCAGTATGCACAATAAGCATAGGGCATACATACTGGGATTAATTCAGTTACCATGACTCACAAAATTAACAAAGAAGGTGCAATTCCTTTATGCCAGAAAGAATTCTGTGGGGAATAAGTTTAAAAGAGAAAAGATTCTTAAGTGTTACAACAAATGAATAAGTGCTCTGAGGCATGTTGTGGAAATAAAGGTTTTGTACTGTGTGCTGATTGAAAATAAGATTTTTGTCAGCTTCTTTAGTCATGAATTTTGGCAATTAGGTAGTATTAATATACTTCATGTATACACTCATATTCCTCTGAAGGAGCCACTGTATGGTATGGTAATCCTTTTG